CCAGCGGGAATGGGCATGTCTCGGGTGGTAAACCACCGCTGCTGCATCATATGTCCACCAACCATACCAGTGCCATGGGAACACACCACTGCTTGCCGCTGCTGCTGTGCCTGCTGCTGCTTCGACTGCTGTGCCTGCTGCTGTTCCTTCTGCTGCCGCTGCTGCCTCTGCTGCTGTGCTACTCTCTAGACTAGTCCCATCGCTGGTCAATCCAGTCAATGGGGTCAATGCACTCTCGGCTGAGGTCAGTGCCATCTCACCCTTGCTAATCCTCCCTCCCCGGCCCTCCTCCATCTCCCTCATTTTCACCCACAGCGGGTACTCATAGAACAGGTACCCCTGTAACAGTGCAGCTGCTGGTAACAAGGATACCTTCCCTCCACTCTCCTCCTCCTCCTCCTCCTCACCACAAGCCAGTCTCTCTGCATCAGTTCCTGCTTCGCTCCTCTCCTTCTGAGACACCTCACAGGCCTTGATTCCTTCGCCATTCCGCAAGATTCCAAGCCTATCCTGTCCAGGATTGGGCCAGGATTGGGGCCCCGGTCCTTCTGACCCGCCACCATCCTTCTCCACTGTACCACCATACATCCTCGTTATAAGTTGGGCGCCATGCCCCTGCCTCCCCAGCAGCAGCTGGCGGCTTAGCCGGGCCTTGCGGTCGCGAAGGGACTCCCCCACGTGGGGACCCAGGTACTGCCCCAGCAGCCAGTCAGGCTCAGGTGATTTTCCAGGTGAAGCTTCTTCTACACTACTGCTGCCACTGGTGGTTCTGCTGTTGTCGTTACTGCTGCTGCTGCTGCTGCTGCTGCTGCTGCTGCAACTGTTGCTACAGCTGTTATTGCTACAGCCAGCATGAGTGGGAGGGAAACGGCGGGAGAAGATGGCGAGAGCATCATCCCACGAGCCCACAAAGAGGAGAAACTTCACTGAGAGTTCCCAGTGGTGAAGCACAGGGGCGGGTGCTGCAGCCATAGCTGCATCCATACCAGCACTGGCAGCAGTGGATGCCACGTCAGCATCAGCAGAATTTGAAGCCAACTCAGCATCAGCAACAGTAGACGCCTTCCCAGCATCAGCAGCAGAAGACTGAACGGAATTACTAGTATTAAGAGCAGCCTGAATGCTGATACTATCAGCAAGAGCAGCATTCGCACCACCACTATCAACAGCCACAACAGCGGATGAATCCCCGCTGCAGCTGTCAGCACAAGCAGTCGCATCGAGCTCCCCCACCCTCTCGAACGATAGATCAGGAGAACGAGAACACGGAGACGGGAGGAGAGGTGGAGGAAAGACTGAGTGAGGAGGAGAGGGGGAGTGAGGAGGGAGAAATTGGGGTGGCAGTGTAAACAGAATGTCAAACTCCCCCACCGTCTGGATTCGTCCTTTTCTGTCCCTCGCCTCTCGCAAGAATCGCTTTCGAGCCCGCCTGCCCATCTGCCTCAGCTCCGGAAACTCCAGCTCCGGCCGAGCCGGAGCCAGCTCCAGGCTCGGCACACCAAGGCCCTCTAGGTTCGGTAACTTTGTCTCGTCTGGACCTGGTTCTGCCGACCTTGAATCTGTCATGTTGAGTGTGGAGGGTTCAGGTTCGGGCAGAGGTTCGGACAGGCTGCTGTCAGTAGCTGAGCCTGGTTCGGGGAAGATGAGACGAGTAGGCTTTCCCCGAGCCTCTGAAACGTGGACCTGGACGGACGTTCGGAGATCCCGAGGCTTCAGGTTCGGCCCGAACGTGAGCACGAAGAGGATGCAGAGGGCATAGTGATCGCCCAATCGAGCGCTCTGCTTCTTCTCCCTGAACCATGCTGCCACGTGTCCTGCATCCAGTGATTCCAGCCAAGCCAGCAGCGCATCTCGACCGTCCATCTCGATACTATCACACAGACTGACACCCGACTGGTCGTTATAGTCACATGGGTTTTGTGAATTAGTGTACTGAGGATGGTGACCGGGCGAGGTTGGGTTGGGGAGAATGGTAGGCATGAGGAGGGAACAACTGTTGGCAAAGACGTGTGGGTCCACCACTGGTAACTGGGGGAAACAGGGGCGAATGAGAGAGAAAGGGTTGTGGGCGAAAGCGTGTGAGTCCACCACTGGTAGTTGCCACGAACAGGGGGGAATGAGTGGGGGCGGAGGGGGAAGAGCAGCAAGCGGGAGAGAGGAGAGCGTGGTGGTGCAAAGGCAAAGGCGTACTTGGTTGGATGAGAGCAGCTGACGAGGGAGAGGAGAGAGGGAGGGAGGGTGGCCACGTGGGGGATGCATGTAAGTGCAAGGGGGCCACGTGGTGGTGCAAGGGCAAGGGCGTACGTGGTCGGATGAGAGCAGCAGCGGCGGGCAGAAGACGACAAAGGCGATGTCTCGAATGAGCCTGGCGCGCGGGGGGGGGGGGGGGGGGGAGAGGGGGGAGCGAAGGGGGAGGGGAGGGCGTGGGTGGGGGAGAAGGGGAGAGAAGGCGGAAGTAGAAGGCGGAAGTAGAAGGCGGAAGTAGAAGGCGGAAGTAGAAGGCGGAAGTAGAAGGCGGAGCAGAAGAAGGTGTTGGGGAGAAAACAGGGGTACAGCGAGACCGCGGCTTGAGTAGCAGTTAGCGGATTTGTCAATGCACACAAAAAATTGCTGGTTAGATTCCGCATTTGGTGCACGTTCCGTTGACTCGAATTCAGTGGACTCACTTATGTGGGAAGCGAAGCAGCTCCTGTTGAGTCAGAAAACGTCCAGCCTGTCGCACAGGTCTGCTGTGCGACTGCCTTGCGACGGTATCCTCCGCCTTACCCGTCGCCATCCCTGCGACAGAAGCCGAAACGCGCCGGCTCGCGCCAGATGCGGAAGGATATTGGGGAGGGCGCACGACGGATGCAGGAAAGTGCTCGCGCGGAGATTGCTTGCGCGGAAAAGTCTCGCGCGGAAAGCAACTCCTAAAATTCGCATTGCCAGGAGAACAAGATGACAGATTGGCGACCCGCATTCCAAGCGAGTCTTGGTCACTATAACGAGGAATTGTACGTCAGCAGACTCCTGGGTTTCAGCTGACAGTGCCAGAAATACTGCCAGTGCCATGTCAGCTGACAGTGCCAGAAATACTTCCACAATTTCAGCGAAGATTGGAATCTCCGCTATTAGCGGCTCTTTTATCCGGAGTGTATTTTGGTGCATCCAGCGCAATGCAACACAATTCGTTATGATGCTAGAATTGAGCCTAAAATCTCATGCGGTGTACAAGAATCTAGGAACGAACGGCTCGTTGACTTCCGGAGAATAGACCCGTCAACACCAGCCGAAACGACCGATCACCGATTGCCAGTCTTCGCTCGGAGCTGACTCGTCTTCGCAGCCACGTCACGAAATCCATCCTTGTCGCCGCAGTTTACATTCAGCACTAGAAGGAACAACAGCCGTCGATCTCCACCGACAATGTCGACGCCCTTGAAAAATTCCCGAAACCCCGCGTCGCAAACTCGGGGTCCGCGACTTGGGGAAAGTGCAATCCAATCCCGTGGGTGGGGGGACATTTCAGCCCGAACGGAATGCGAGTGGTGAATAAATTCCAAGCCCAGTTCCAGCCAGCACAGCAGAAGCACATCACTTGGAATTGGAATATTGACAGCACACTTCAAAGTTGGAAGTACTTAAAAAATTTGAAGTTCAATCCAAAGCCCCTTTCCACTCCAAGCGCTTTATACTGACAGCACTTCAGCCTCATCATGGGAATCAGGGAGATTTTAGCTTTTGTGGTGATGGTTCTTTCTCTTCAATGCTCCGCTCAAGCCAGAAAACCTGGGCGTGAGCTTCTCACTCATCACGTGGGAGCTGTGAAGCCATCTATTGGCAGCCTGTGGCGCGCACGAGTGAATAGCAGGATCGCTAGCGCCTCAATCTCAACCGTTTCCAGCAGCTCTGCTCCTCCTACTACTGCTGCTAAAGGTAGCAGCAGCACCACCACTGGAAGAAAAGTGGCAGCAACTGTAAGCATTGCGACAGCAAGTCGTGCGACTACAGTGGTGACGGCGAAGAAGAATAGCACAGTACGAGCCACCAAGACCACCGCACCCGCGGGCCGCACCGCTGCCACTTGTGATGCGTCATCGCTTGCAGACTACTCCTCCTCGACTCCGCTCTCCTCCGAGTGAGTTTCCTCCTACACCTGTCCGCCCTGCCAGGGCGTCCAGCAGGTTGTGAAAAGTAAGGAAGTCAAACCATATCAGTAGGTTGTGCGTCCATTCCATTAATATGAATTTGATCCACATTTGCATGTCTTTAACTGCTCCTGCATGTGACCTGCCTGAACTTATTATAATCAGACTGGTTCTTTCCCCATTCATATCATATCATGTATCTCCCCCCCTTCCTCCCCAGCTTAACACTCCACTGGCAGGCAGCAAGTGCATCCAAGGTCAACCTAGCCCTGGAGGCAGCAGCGGGCAGCACGGCAGCAGCGGGTGGTTCGCCCTCGCATGGTCTGCAGACGGTCGCATGGCCCCCGCTGATGCTGTCGTTGGCAACCTGCCTGGGGGGGCCGTGGCGGCTTATTATATGGGCGGGTATGCGATGAGCGATGTGCAGCCTACAAGCAGCTTCGATATTGGCAACGCGGTTCAAACTACATCGGCTTCCGGCTCCACCATTATCGAGTACTTCTCTCTCTCTCTCTCTCTCTCTCTCTCTCTCTCTCTCTCTCTCTCTCTCTCTCTCTCTCTCTCTCTCTCTCTCTCTCTCTCTCTCCTCCCATACTTTTATGCATGCCGTTGGCTAGCCCAAAATCCATGTGTAATCATGTGCCTGTGTGTTACATGTGTCTCATGCCAGGTTCTCCCGCGTTTCAGGCGATGGCTCTGTACCAGTGAACGTTGGTGGCAGCAACACACTCATCTGGGCCTTCTCTCAAGGCGGATCTCAGACCCTCGGGTTCCACGGGGAAAATGAGTAAGCTGCCTTTTCACCTTTCACACACATCATGCTTCACTGTCATTCATTTTTTGCTGGAAAGTCCACAGCTACAGTGTATACGCATGGCCCATGTACTATACCAAATCTTACTCACCTTCTGTGTTCCTATTTGCTGTTCGTTTCCTGCCGCTTCCACGCCTGTCTCAACCTCTCATGGCAGCGGAGAGGCCACAGTTGACTTCTCCTGTGACGGCTCCTCCTCCTCCGCTCCCCCCTCCACCTCCCCTCCCTCCTCCCCTTCACCTCCCTCCACCTCCCCACCTTCCTCCCCTGCGCCTCCCTCCACCTCCCCCCCATCCTCCTCCTCCTGTGCCGCCTCCACCCTCACCGGATACACCTACTCCGCACCCCTGGACTCCTCGCTCACACTCCACTGGAACACAGCCAACGCCACACAGGTCAACCTGGCTCTAGAAGCAGCAGCAGGCAGCACGGCAGCAGCGGGGTGGTTCGCCCTAGCATGGTCTGCAGACGGTCGCATGGCCCCCGCTGATGCTGTCATTGGCAACCTGCCTGGGGGGGCCGTGAGGGGTTATTATATGGGCGGGTATGCGATGAGCGATGTGCAGCCTACAAGCGGATTCAGTATTGGGAGTGGTGCGGCGCTGACAACTGCAGCTGGTGGCTCCAAAGTCATGAAGTAAGCATTTTTTGCGGTGTGAAGCTTTGTCAGTTCTAGGAACTTCTAGCTTCGGTTCAGGGTTCAATCCTCGTGGCATACAACTCGATTGTGAATGTGCGATGAGATCTCACTCCGACGCCCTTGTCACGGTGACGCGCTGGCAGGTTCTCTCGCACGCAGGGTGACGGCTCCATCCCAGTCAACGTGAATGGCTCCAACACACTCATCTGGGCCTACTCCCAAGGCGGCTCGCAGACCCTCGGATTCCATGGAGAGAATGAGTGAGTACAACTGCACTTTTTTGCCATTTGAAGGGCAAACGCGCACCTTTTTTGACTTTTTTATCAATTTTGGTTAATGGCTTGTGCACACCTCTGGCTAGAAATGGGATACCTGATAACATCCCCTCCCTTTCTCACCAAAATCTTTCAAACCCAAACTGTTCTCTAATTCTTGCTGCAGTGGCGAGATTACCCTGGACTTCTCATGCACCACTTCCTCGACCGGTGGCGGCTCCGGTGGTGGCATTGGCGGCGGTGACAACAACGGAGGTGGCTTTGGCGAGGGGCACCACGGGCATGGTCATGGGCATGGGGGTGGCGATAGGGATGGCGATAGGGATGGCGATGGGCCTGGCGATAGGGATGGCGATAGGGATGGCGATGGGCCTGGGGGGCTTGGAGGGCGTGGGGGTCCGGGAGGTCCTGGGGGTCATGGTCGTGATGGGGATGGTGGGGTTGGAGGGGTTGGAGGGGGTGTGGTGGGAAACTCGACTGGTGGTGGGTGGGGTGGCAGTGGCTGGGGTGGTTGGTGGAACTGGTTTGGCCGGTGGTAGTTTACTGGCACGTGCTGATGAGGACCACGGACACGGAGATGGGCACGGGGGTGGCGATGGCGATAGGGATGGCGATGGGCCTGGGGGGCTTGGAGGGCGTGGGGGTCCAAGAGGTCTTGGGGGTCATGGCCATGATGGGGATGGAGGGGTTGGAGGGGGTGTGGTGGGGAACTCTACTGGTGGTGGGTGGGGTGGCAGTGGCTGGGGTGGTTGGTGGAACTGGTTGGGCCGGTGGTAGTTTACCAATGAAGACCATGATGGAGGTCATGGAGGCATGGAGGTCCCGAGGGCCATGGTTATGATAGTGGGGAGGGGTGACAGTGGCTGGGCCGGTTGGTGGAGCTGGTCGGGCTGGTCGTAGTGTGCTGACGTCTACTGCTGAGGGCCCGGCTTGGGATTTGAACAGTCATGGAGATTAAAGGGATAGATGGATTTTGTTGTTATTTTGTGAGGAGACCTAATTGCGGATGATGATGAAGATTGAATATGGTAGCTGGAGGGTGGCTTTGGATGGGCCTGGTGGGATTGTGGCAACTTGTATTAATGATTGCATGGATAATGTGATGGAGTGTGGATGATGTAGCCACTCAGTTAGCAGTATAAAGGATTGGTTCTCATTGGCGTTATTTTACAATCGTTTTGCCCATTTGGGTGCGATGCTTCTAAACCCTGAAACAATCTTTACTGTATAGCACTACTTGGAAAAGTAGCTTGAATAATAACGAGGGCCCGTTCTTCTCTATACAGCAGCAAGGGATGGCTGGGTGATCCACCCCTATATATCGTCGTTCAGTATTTTTTTGCTCTCAAGCGCCAGCTAGACGATAGGCTCAGTATCGCTAGCGAAATGTCGGTCCACGCGCATCGCTGTCGCACAATCGTCGCACGGCTTCTTTTGTCGCACATTGCTCCTCCGCGGTCCACCCTTCCGCCCTCCGCGCTCGTCGCTCCTTCCGCGCAACTCGCGCCAGCTCCGCCACACTCCCGGCAACCACCACATGCGTTAAGTCAGCACCACTCTGCACCGCACTCTGCCACTTGTAATCCCGCATCGCCCCTCGCCCTCCCGCTGGCGGCTTTTCCGCCGCAATCATCGGCGCACTCTGCGCAACCCTCGAGCCTCCGCCGAGATCCGACCCGTCCAGCCACGTGGCAGGAGCCGACCTCTTATTGGCTGAAAGAATTCGCAACTGCCGCGATCGCATGTCGACTCTCCGATTCGCACGCGCTCTTCCTCCAAGCACGTGCCTCGCGGCCGGTTTTCCCGCCTCTAATCACTCCAAACGCGGCGCGGTTTTTCCCATTAGTAGAATTCGCAGCGCGCCAGCAATTGTATTCGACACTTAAATCGCCGGAAAATGCGGAAGGGTCGCGTAGGGAGGCGGAGGGGCTGGCTGGGAGCGTGGAGAACGAAGATTCGGAGAAGGTTCTGGGAGCAGAAGTGAAGGGGGAATTCGGGTCAAGAGAAAAGGTTGAAGTGAGGGGAGGGGGAGAGGAGGAGCAGGTGATTGGAAGCGGTGGAAAGCGGTTGAGAGGGGTGGAGGAGGAGGAGAGAGTGGTGGGAAGAGACGGGGAAGATTGGCAGCGGATTGTAGTGTACCGTGGGAGGTGGATGCGAGGGCTGAGACTGATGGTGAGGTGAGTGCGGTGGAGAGCGGTGGAGAGAGGTGGAGAGAGGTCGTGCAGGGTGTTTATGCGAACAAGAATCTTCTCGTTGTTACAACCGCCGTTTGTGATGCAAAAAAACCACCTCCTCTCTCGCCGCCGCTGCTGCATGCTGCCTGCTGCAGGCTCAAGGTGGCTCAGCTAGTGGGGGTGGGGTGGCGTCGCTGGGCGTCGCTGGGCGTCGCTGGGCGTCGCTGGGCGTGAGTGGTTGTGTTGAGGCGCCTCAAAAGTCGCCCCAAAGATCATCCCCCTCCCTTTCTTCCGCATCTGCCTGCCCGCCCTCTCCTCTCCCCACTGCCGGATGCTGCATGCTGCTGGCTGGATGTTGTTATGTGCTTCCTGCATGTTGCCGTGTCCTGCATGCTGCAGGCTCAAGGTGGCTCAGCTGGTGGGAGTGGCGTCGCTGGCGGTGCCCATAGCTGCGTGGACGCAAGGGGTGAGACGGAGAGAGTGAGGGAGTGAGGGAGGGAGAGAGTTGAGAGGGAGGGAGAAGAGAGTGGGGGAGTGATAGTGAGGTGGTGGGGGTGGCTTCGCTTGCCGTGCCCATAGCTGCGTGGACGCAAGGGGTGAGACGGAGAGAGTGAGAGAGTGAGACAGTGAGATAGGGAAGAGAATAGTTAGTCCAATATATAGGCTTTTCTTGCACTTGTCTGCGCCCCAGCATCTACATTAATGAAAGGACCGTTCGAGACAGTGAAACAGTGAGAGAGTGAGGGAGGGAGAGGTTGGGAGAAGAGAGGGGGAGCAGTAGTGAGCTGCTGGGTGGGGGTGGCGTCACTGGCTGTGGCCATAGCCGCGTGGACGCAAGGGGTGAGTAGAGAGGAATGAAGAGGGGGGTTCTGGTTAGTCAGTTAGTGGAAGAGAGTAAGACGGCAGGAAGAATTTCGAATGCTTGTGGCTACAGATGTGTGCATGCTACAGATGTGTGCATGCTACAGATGTGTGCATGCTACAGATGTGTGCATGCTACAGATGTGTGCATGCTACAGATGTGTGCATGCTACAGATGTGTGCATGCTACAGATGTGTGCATGCTACAGATGTGTGCGCGCTACAGATGTGTGTGCGCTACAGATGTGTGCGTGCTACAGATGTGTGCGCGCTACAGATGTGTGCGTGCTACAGATGTGTGAGTGCTACAGTTGCCCTCATGCCAATCGCGTTCCTCCTATTCCTCTCACCCCCATCAGGCCTCTCTCCCACTGGGAACGAGCGTGGCAGTGGCAGCAGTGGTGGGGGGTGCCGCAGCAGCGTCTGCCTGTCTCTGGTTTTACTCCTCGCGATACGTGGGGGAGCTGGCTCTGATCAAGGCACCTACTGCTGCTGGGGCTAAGGCTGGTGGTGAGGAGAATGGGCAGCAGTGGCGGGTGTGTATCAGCACGCTTGACTTCTGGGGCAACCGAGAGGTGAGCGAACAGACTCCATAGGAGTGTCGTTGGGTTTGCGTGCCTGTGGTTCTCCTCCTCGTGATACGTGGGGGAGATGGCTCTTATCAAGACACCTGCTGCTGATGGGGATGGGCAGCAGTGGCGGGTGTGTATCAGCACGCTTGACTTCTGGGGCAACAGAGGGGTGAGAGAGCTCCTTCTTATCAGCGGAGGAGGAGAGAGCTCGGGCAAGCCGAGGGGTTTGAAGGAGATTTGGCTTGCCGTGTATGAGGGGATTCGGCATGTGTGGACGAGAGGGGTGGGGAAGGGTGTGCGCGAGGGGGTGTGTTTGAAAAAGTGATTTCTTTTATGCTTGCATCACCCTTTCATGCGTGCATCTGGTTTTTCCACTCTGTCCCTTGCTCACCATCTCTCCTCCCCTCCACACGCCCCCCTGACCCCCCTTGCCACTTGTCCACAACCATTACTGTCAACCTTGACCATTTAATCGGGACCGCCCATTCGTGACTGCCAAATCGTGGCCGTCCAATCAGAACCTCAGATTGCCTCTCAGGTATCTCCTCACCTTCCCCCCTTATCTCTCTCATTCTCTGTTCCCACCAAGTGGCCCCAGTTGCTCCCACCTGCACCCACCTGCACCCACCTGCACCCACCTGCCCCCACCTGCCCCCACCTGCCCCCACCTGCACCCACCTGCACCCACCTGCACCCCTCCTACGGCTGGCCCTCACCATCCACGTTCCTTGCATCCCTCTCACACAGACTACCCCACCCACATACGTGACCTTACCTGAAACAAATACCACTCCCCCTCTATACCCTCTCCCTCCGCCGTTTCTTCCCCACCCCCTCTCTCCTCAATTCCGTCCCTTCTCCCTCCTCCGCGCCTCACCCCACTCCGGCCGCCCCTCACAGTGCCCTGGTGCCCCCACTTAAGGGTCTATCGCATCAGAACATGAAGGCTATTGCACACCACAGCTTTGTGCCGCTCGATGGTGAGTGAGTGGCAGGGGGGGACCGATGTGAATGGTTTTTGAGGCGCCTCAGAGTTCACTATAGGGGCTATCCCTGCAGAACATGAAGGCTATTGCACACCACAGCTTTGTGCCGCTCGATGGTGAGTGAGTGGCAGGGGGGGACCGATGTGAATGGTTTTTGAGGCGCCTCAGAGTTCACTATAGGGGCTATCCCTGCAGAACATGATGGCTATTGCACACCACAGCTTTGTGCCGCTCGATGGTGAGTGAGTGGCAGGGGGGGACCGATGTGAATGGTTTTTGAGGCGCCTCAGAGTTCACTATAGGGGCTATCCCTGCAGAACATGATGGCTATTGCACACCACAGCTTTGTGCCGCTCGATGGTGAGTGAGTGGCAGGGGGGGACCGATGTGAATGGTTTTTGAGGCGCCTCAGAGTTCACTATAGGGGCTATCCCTGCAGAACATGATGGCTATTGCACACCACAGCTTTGTGCCGCTCGATGGTGAGTGAGTGACAGGGGAAGGGATGGCAATGGTTTCTACATAACATTCTTCTTGTTCTTTAGCCTTCACTCACACCCTGTTCAACTCCTTGCTCAATGTCTATCCTCCCTCTCTCTCCTGTTGCTATGTGTCGTATACAAACCCCATACCCCCTCTCTCTTTCCCATCCTCCCCACTCCTCCCTCCCACCACCTTTGTTCGCAACCACCCCCTGCCTCGTGTCCCAGTGCCCTCCCACCGGCAGTTCCGGGCCGCATCCCCAACCTGCCCCTGCTGCTTTGAATGATCTCACAACCCACTCTCCCTTTTCCCCCTTTTTCCCTCTCCCGCCCCCCTTCTGTTTCCCCTTCCCCCTGTTTCCATGTCCCAGTGCCCTCCCACCGGCAGTTTCTGCTGAGCATAAGGCACGGCCGCATCCCCAACCTCCCACTGCTGCTTGCCCTACTGAAAGGCGACGAGGGCTGGGAGAAGGAGATTCGCTGCTAGCTAGCCGCTGCGACTTCTGAGGCGCCTCAAAGGGCGCATCTCCAACCTCTTTTGAGATGTCTCGAAAGGAGATTCACTGTCAGCTAGCCGCTGCGGCTTCTGAGGCGCCTTGAAGGCTATTCAAGGCACATCCCTAACCTCCCACTGCTGCTCGCATTGCTCAAATCAAGGGCGAGGAGGACTGAGAAGAGGATATCGACTGCTAGCTAGCTGCTGTGCTTCTTGTCTTGTGCTGGAAGAATGTTTCCAAGGCGCCTTGAAGCCCGCATCGGCAACCTC